CGATTATATTCACTTATGTGCTAATACCCTTGGGAAAGGTATGAATCCTCCTCTTCTCCACCCCCAGCTATGGATAAATAGCAGGACTGACCGGGTTCTATAGCCTTGGATGACAACTGGTCTACAGCAGAAAGAAATAGCAACCAACTGTGTGATGAATTATTGGTGATTAATTATTTTCAACCCTACAGCCCCTTTATTTCGCAAGCCTCTCGCCTCTTTATCACTATTTCCATGGCGAATGTTCTGGTGATCTCCATTCCTTAGTTCCGCCTGTTCAGATCATTACGTTATTATTACCCGCCATGCATCGTACATTTGCACGATTTATCCCCATTCTTTTCGTATTGCATTAGTAATAAATAAGTAGCATTTGTATAGCTTCTTTCCAATAATTCGCCGCAGTGTCAGGCCTCTCCTACGGACACTCTGAAAGAAAGTCTAAATGCCTGCGCCTGCCCGGAAGCGTATCGTTTCCTTCCACGTAGCTTACCGCATCTGTGTCAAAATTTGGGCTTTAAAATTTGACCTTAGAGCTCACAGTAGGACTCTTGTCCAAATGAATCAATACGTCGGCCATGTCAAATCAATTTATTGGCGTTTTTTTTACATTCAGGCCGGTAAATGTAGTTAATACTGTTATAATATACACAGAACATTTACTTAAAATATTTGTATCTATAAAAAATATCGTATAAACAGAAAATATATATTAGATAATTATCGGACTTAGTTTATATCATAATATATGATGTCATTTGTTTACGTTAAGATAAGCTTTGAGCAGATCAGAGCGCTCAAGAGAAATCATGGGATATTCTCTTGCTGATAGTTTTTTTTTACTCCTGTGGCAGTGGAGAATTCAGGGGTTATTGGCCTTCGTTCGATGGCGTTCCTTTGGAGGATTGGCGTCTCGATTAAGGGACGAGCCTCGTGAAACCGGGTGGCTCTTGCAGCGTGTCACACTGGCGATGGTTCGAGGTAATGCTTTCACCATCATTGCGGCTGAATCATAGCAAAAAAAAAAAAATTGTTTATAGTCTCTGGAATTGTCATCAATGATCAACTAAACTTGCTTTGTTTTTTGTTTAAATACAAATCTAAACTTATAAATTCTTCTTACGTCATTAATAACTGCGTACTGCTAGTGTTGTTTTATTTGACCCAATTCTTAGACTTACACAATTATCCATGACGCAAGCATAGTTTCAAATTTGGCATTTGGAAATAAAAGCAAAATACGAATAACTCATTAAGATATCAGAGATCTATATGGGACTATATTATGAACAGGAACCTTTTCTAAAATAATTTTTCTCCCTTAATCTTCATTAGACAACTGTAAGTTTACCATTCGTCCATGCTTTGAATATAGCTAAAACATATGGCCCGGCCTCCTGCTACATATTTAGAGATTCTTGATAAAACAACCCAAAAGGAATCTGTAATATTATTTGTCCTGACCTAGGGTCTCGACTTCAATTATTCTCCCACTGCTATAATTTGGCTTACCTGTGCCTTGTCTATAAATATTTTTATTTTTATTTTAACTATTCCGAAAAATTCTTCGTTATGGTACCCAGACAAATAAGCGCACTACTAGATTGGGGCAAGGTCGTACTGGCTGGAAATAACCGTAATTTCTACGCTAAAATTTTATTTTCTCGCACTTCTTGCTTGTGGAACTCTTTTCTGACTTCATGCTTTCCGGCTAACTTTGATCCGATATCAATCGTTATCCACCGTTTTCTTGATTACACTTGCATTTTTCTCACTCCTTAATGATATTTCTCTTTTTTCGTATTCTTGTACACTCAGTAACCCCTTGTGTCTTAGTGGCTTTACTCTCTTGCTTGGTGTGATAGGAAAAATAAAATGATAAAAAAAAAAATAGATATTTTTCGATTCTGAAAACGTCAATGTCTAATGAATGCTAATCAAAAAAACTTATTTTTTAAAAAAAATGATTGTTGGCATTTTCTACGAGCTGACACGTCAATATCCGTAATTTTAATATCCCGAACAGCTAGGTCTTGGATATCCTCTAGGTGGAGGTTCCAAATACCGAGAATATGGTAAAGTCAGTCATTAAGGAACTAATGGCTAACTAGAATGAGAAATATATGCAGGTATATACCAGATCACATTGAGATCATCCTCAAGATAGGATATATATATATATATATATATATATATATATATATATATATATATATATATATATATTATAAGATAAAAGCTAAAGTCAGGCAAAACTACCTAGATTTCACCTAAACGGATCATCAGGGCATAAATTTCTTGTGGAACTCTTTTTTGACTCTCAAGCATCGCCCTGACGATCCCTTCAAGACAATGAAACCTAAATGGTTTACCTGGCAACGGTTTATCTTAGGTTTTTTATCTATTTTCATATATATTGAGCACTTTACGTAGTTGCCTTTTCCTTCGTTTTGGATTTTTTTTTTTGGACTTTGACCTTGAACTCTGGACGATTGTTTCCGGATTGTTTCATGTTCTTGGTTCTTTATATTTTTTTTATTCCTCATTTTTATTTTTACAGGATTGTTTTGTATACAAATCAGAAATATCCAACGGAATTTTTCCAAGCGAGTACCATTCGATTATATATATATATATATATATATATATATATATATATAAATTGTGTGTGTGTGTGTTGTGAAAAATATTATAATACAAATAAATATAAGTATGTATAATTATTTATATATATATTGCAGCCTACTTTTAAAAAGCGCTCAATATCAGAGATAGATATAACATATTTGGTTGGATAGATGTGAGTTTTATGACCTGGGTTTCACGCTTTAGCGATCGCCAGACAAACTGTTTGTCTGACGATCGCTTTGCGTCAGATTTTGGGAGAAACAAAAAGAACATTATAACCATATATATATATATATATATATATATATATATATATATATATATATATATATATGTGTGTGTGTGTGTGTGTGTGTGTATGTATTTATATATATAATCCTTCTTTCATGCACATTTCAATTGAATACGACAGAAAGGTGCTGTTATTTAGTTTTTTTACATAATTTCTCATGTGATCTAATACTTTTTTCTTTTCTATTCAGACGAAAATTTATATAAAAACTGTCCCAATGTTCTTTTTATCCTAGCGCTTTCGGCTATACATTTAGCCATTTTCAAAGTTGAAATATTTTAACTGTTAAATAAGAAATAGTTTGTTGCGTGTATGTAATTATGTAATGTTTTCATTTTCAAAACACGGTCAAGATATCGTGTCCATGTTCATAAAATAATTATATAGGCCATACTACAACATGTTTGACGCGAAGACTCACTCTACACATTTCTGACCATAGCTCAATTAGATCTCATTTAAATATTCATGGAGACCTACCGGACACTATTCGTAACATACTTGTTGATAACACAAATATATTAGTATTATCTACATGCAAAAAAAAGGCTAAAAATAATGGAAGCCTTATTAATAAAGACAAACAAAAAAAAACATAATAATATTAACATGAGCATGGACATAATATCTTGACCGTGTTTTGAAAAATGATAACATTATATAAATACATAGATGCAAGAAACTATTTCTTGTTAAAAGTTAATATATTTCAAAATTGAAAATGGCTAAAAGTATAGCCGAAAGCGCTCGGATAAAAAGTACTTTCGGACAGTTTTTATATAAATTTTCATCTGAAAAGAAAAGAAAAATTAGATCACATGAGAAATTGTATAAAATAAATAAATCAAAGTACCTTGTCTGTCGTATTCAATGAAATGTATATATATATATATATATATATATACTTTATTTTAGGTAAGTGCTGATATGTGAGCAAATGCTTACATTTACCGGCCTGAATATTCGAGAAATCTTGTCAGAAAATACGCGACCTCCAGCAGGATTCGAACCTACATTCCCTTATTAGATCTAACGTGCTTAACTGATTTGGTCACACAGAACTTCTGGTTAAACAAAGCCTGGAGGACATATATTCGAGAAATCTTGTCAGAAAATACGCGACCTCCAGCAGGATTCGAACCTACATTCCCTTATTAGATCTAACGTGCTTAACTGATTTGGTCACACAGAACTTCTGGTTAAACAAAGCCTGGAGGACATATATTCGAGAAATCTTGTCAGAAAATACGCGACCTCCAGCAGGATTCGAACCTACATTCCCTTATTAGATCTAACGTGCTGATTTGGTCAACAGAACTTTGGTTAAACAAAGCCTGAACATATATTCGAGAAATCAAAAATACGCCCTGGAGGATTCAACCTATATTTCCTGAAAGGCCGGTAAATGTAATTAACTAAAGAATAAACAAAGCAAAGCCTGGAACATATATTTCCTGAAACAGAAATGTTTAACTGAATATGAATATCATATAAACAACGTTTTAGCAAAACAAAATATCAATATATATATATATAAATATATATATATATATATATATATATATATATATATATATATATATATATATATATATATATATTTTTTTTTTTTGTTAGACGTTTTTTCTTTAGTTTACTATTTGTTCTCGGTTACTTGACGCATACTCTCCATAAGTGTAAAGATATTGGTCTTGTCTATACGCACATATTTTTTTAAAATATCTTTTTTATTTAGTTTATTATGTGCTCTCAAATACCTGACGCAGACTCTACATAAGTGCAAAGATATCGTTGGTCTTGTCTATATGCACATGTTATATGCATTTTTCTATTAAACATACTGTGTCTTTAGTTTATTATGTGCTCTCAAATACCTGACGCAGACTTTACATAAGTGTAAAGATATCGTTGGCCCTGTCTATACGCACATATGACTGCGAAAATTGTAACGACTCCAGCCGTACGACATTTAATGCCCGCAAGATTTATGGTGTTAAAATAGCCAAGGAGGCAAGGGTGGCAGAGGGTGTAGCAGCAGGCATCATTTGTTCGGTAACGCTTCAAGCGTCTCTCCAGAATAATGACCATTCAGTGGTCGCCCAGACGGACAGCTGAAGGGATTGCGCGATGCTCGGACGATGGCTGTTAGTTTGTGATCATTCACGTTGACCAGCATCTGCTGCCCACTGAATCATGACCGGACACGCCTCGCGACGGGGTGATCAGCGTCTCTCTTAAACGGTCATTAGAAAGAGTTTTATCGCAATCTGTTCGCATCGATCTCCTTCAAGTCATGTCTGTCTATCTATTTACCTAACTTTTGATGTAGGCTCAATTCTATCTATCTATCTATCTATCTATCTATCTATCTATCTATCTATCTATCTATCTATCTATTTCGTTTTTTTTCATTATCTATCTATCTATCTATCTATCTATCTATCTATCTATCACGGTCTTTTCATTATCTATCTATCTATCTATCTATCTATCTATCTATCTATCTATCTTAGCAAGCTATTGTCTATTTATGTACTTGGAATTTCTGAAAATTCAACTGCAATGTGCAAATGTCATGATACATCTCAAGATCTCACTCTGGCTGAAAATCATTATCTATCTATCTATCTATCTATCTATCACAGTCTTTTCATTATCTATCTATCTAACACATTTTTCATTATCTCTCTCTCTCTCTTTACATATATATATATATATATATATATATATATATATATATATATATATATGCCTTTTCATTATCTATCTAGGTAGCTAACTAGATAACCATATGTGGAATGCATTTGACTCACTTATAGCAGTTGACTACTTCTTTACGCGCCGCTGGCGAATCTTATATGCGTTGTTCTTGTCCTAAGTATTATCGTTCATTACCAACCTTCGTGTGATTATTCTATTCATTAACCTTCCCTAGGTTACAACAACCCCAGAATTCATTTTTAATTAAAACGCCCGTTTCATCCCAAAAAATTGTTAAGGCAATATTCACTCGCAAAAAAGAATTATTCTTACAAAATTAAAAAAAAAAATGTTTCACCTTTATATAACCTACTAAGGATTGATAAGACGTAATACAAATCAACAAATCAGTTAGCATCTGTCTGTATGTCTGTCAATCTGTCTGAAAACGCTCTTAGTCTGGTCGATAAATTTTCAACATGTATCTATCTTTTCATCTATATTGTGTATGTATGTATGTATGGATTGCCTTTCCAATGCGTCAAATAAGATCGTTATGTCATAACCAGTACCCGACAGACCGTGTATTCTACCATCGATTTACGTCAGAAGTAAGTAGTTAAAAGTCGTAGATACGTTTGTCTAACTGTGTAGCACACTTTCTAGGCATAAATGCATTTAACCTGGAAGTCAGTTATACACTTTCTAAAGTCTATGACGTGTTCAACCGCAGTAATTTTGCATCCAGGCTCTTACAATATATCATCATTCTTGGTAGATTTTCTGTTGTCACAATGTAGGATAGTCAGGAAAAAAAAGGTGATAGAGAGAAAAAGAAAAAGAATTCAGATGAATTTGGCTAGATTGAAAAAAAAAATTATTCTTTAAAAAAAAAAAAATTTAAAAATATTCTTTAAAAAATTTTGAAACTACCAGCCTTTCTCGTTTCGTGCGCATGTGTAGACGTGGCAAAGTTCGGTGCCAAGGGGAGTAACTTGGTTTTACGCTAGTTCATGCGCATGCGCTACGTGTTCATCCTGACGATGACAGTACAGATATTTTTAGTAAAGAAGTATAGATGTGAGGTTGGTAAAAGGCACACAAGCGACTGAAAAGAAAAAAGAGTGAAGAAAATATGTACATTTGACACGTATAGCGAAGGAGGGTCGTATTCAACAAAAAATCGAAAATTGCTTTTTTTTACGGCAAATTATTATATCATATCCAACTATTTTTCAAAAAAATTAGAGCCGATTACACAATATTTCAATCTCAATTTAGGTTTATAGTTCGTAACCATAAAATGAGATGAGGTAACAGAAACCGTAGATTTGTCTGCGGAATATCATTACATTATTGTTACATAATTATAGTGAAATCATAAAGGTTTTTTTGTCAAAAGCATTTTATTTTTGGTCGTATACTAATTTAAAATATTCCTTTTTACTGGCTTTATTTTTGAAAAAAGAATAAGATCATTCTAAATTTCAGAATTTCGCTATTGCCCTTCAACATGACTGGAAGAAAGCGATCTAAAAACAACAATGGAAAAGAGAGGTAACAAAGCGTAAACGAAATAACTCCAGTTTGTTCAACTTAGGAAACTTAGCATTGCAGCCAAATTATTCTAAAATGCCGCCAATAAAAAAAATAAAAAAAAATGAAAAATACTTAACAAAAAATCGAATATAGCATCAAAATTTATATTATGCTTATTTATTTGTTATATAACTAAATAAATAATTGTCAACAATGTTTCCGTAAAACTTGATATTTCCTGTAATAAATTCTTTAAAAAATATTATTATTGTTATTATTTTACCAAAGTATAAAGTAGTTTTACATTTACAATTCCTTACCGCTAACCATGAAAAGACATGTTGATCAAAATGAACTAAAGCCTTTAAGCGCATATTACTGCAAAATTACCAGATGTTGAATACGCCACATCCTCCTCTAAATGCGTATAAGATAAGATAAAGAACAAATAAGTAACGTTTATCAATCGTTTTTATTAAAGCCCCATCATAAAATGAGATATGAAGAAAAAGAAGAAAGAAATTTCGATATTTTTATTTTTGTGTTGTATGATCTTCATTTGTTAATCAGGTTTCACGCACATTCGACTTGTTAAACAAACGTTAGTATAAAATATGGCGTTCCGAATTCAAGGAGCGACGATGGGTCCTTTCAAAGCTCCAAGAAATTAACGTATTCCAAGCCTAACTGAAAAACCGTATATATTGGTTTGTGTATGTAAGTGTATAATAATTCTAGTTTGTCTATGTGGGATTCAGACGATAATGTATATCCGTGAGTGTGTGTGTGCGTGCGCGCGTGCGCGTGTGTGTCCAGTAGATATTATGTTTGGTGCTTTTTCAAAAGACTGCTTATCAAACAAAAATTGATCATATTTATAGTAAAACTAGACTACCCGGGACTCGGGTATATGAAAAAAAGAAATAATTTTCGAGCTCAACGAGTCTCATTGAGAGCACAACCTTTGACCCGGATTGGAGAATGCTCGGGGTCTGCTCGGTGATAATGAAAAGATTTACGAGATCTGATTAGAATGTAACAAGATCAGCCCAAAATGCGAATTGTAAATCAGAGACACTATAATCAAACAAATATAAAAATTTAAATATCTGGGAAGTGTTTTAACAGAGGACGGAAGGTGCGACACTGAAATTCGAAGACGCATTGGGATAGCCAAAGATGCCTTACAAAAGCTAAGCAAAGTATTAAGAAACAAAAAAAAAAAAACTCTTTAGAAACAAAGAAAAGAGTACTGAACATTTACTTGGTACCGGTCCTCCTATATTTCAATGAATGCTGGGTAATCTTCTCAAAGATATGGAAGAGACTTGAGGCAACAAAAACGAGGTTCTACAGTAGCATAATGAAGATGCCATGGACCAAAGATCCGGGCATCTACGAGGTTTTAGAGAAAACTAGACTACCCGTTGAATTATTGACGGTTCAGGTTATAAAACACTGAAGTTGATTTTAGCATACCATTGAAATGAAAGTTTATTATTATTATGATTCAGTTAAATAATTCAATTCCTTCGTGTCATCATTGGTCTGGTTTACAAGTTCATGCTTAAGGTTTTATTGATTGTTTACAGCATTTAATACGAATAAAAAATTTCCGGGATAAATTTGAGCTTTAAATCAAATTAACTTCAAAATATTTTTAATATGCCAAAAAATATTTTAAAATCATATTCATTTGAAAATATTTTTTAAATATGCCTAAAATTATTTTTTTAAATATTTAAAATATTGTTTGTTTAAAGTTAGCTGAAATATAAATAATTACGCCATAAAAAACTGAACCGAACAACAAAGCGGGATCTCTTTGTGCCTGTCTTTAAATTAAAAATAATTAATTAAAAATATTGTCTATTTCAAGAAAGTTGAAATATAGATACTTACTTTATAGACTTACTTTATAGACAAGTCGTATTTTAAAATCTTATTCACTTAAAATATTCTTAAATCAGATTATCTTAAAAATATTTGTTTAAGAAAGCTGAAATATAAATAATTACTCTACAAACAACTGGACGAAACAGCAAAGCGGGATATCTTTGTGTCTGTCTTTAAATTAAAAAATATTTTCATTAAAAAAAATTGTCTGTTTGAAGAAAGTTCAAACAAAAATACTGTATAAACAACTCGTAAATCATTCTGCGCCGGACGGACGGACGCACATCGCAAGTACGCACGCAATTAGATACTTCGGTATTATATAGAAGTTAATCGACTCCGGAAAAAAACAAAATTTAGATTTAGTAATATCAAGCTTATTGGCGAATATATACTTTCCAATTAAAAATTTTCTCTTTTAAGGAGGGAAAATATTATCGATCATATTGTGAATTGAGCGCCCAAATTTCATTTTTAAGAGCTATTTTACCGTCTGCCAATTCAAAGAATACCGCTCGTCTCGTACAGCGTCGCTGGTTGGTTAATATATATGAATACAAAAATTCAAATTATTAGAGCCACTGTGAGCCGGTTTTGTACAAAAAAAGAATGAGTATTCAGTGACTTAAATCCATTTGCATTTTCCTACAAGTCTTCAAACTGGGTTCCACATATGTTGTGGACCCAGAAGAGGTCCGAAAGAAAACTCGAACTCAGTAATTCAGTGAAAACGTATTATTAACAAAAAGAACGATTACAGATGTGTTGTATGTCTTTCTGGCGAGTAGTCAACTCGTTCGCAATATTTAATGATCCCCCCATGAGGAATGTATGTAGCACAAGGCTGGGTTTCTCCGATCCCGTAGGTTCGGCCAAAAATATACCCTTTGAACCCACCTAGACGGTTTCAGGGCCTGTCTACCTCCCCGGACGAATCCTTGCCCTTCGGCAAAGCTTTTTACAGGTTCCTATCTGCCAAAGCAGAGAGTTCGACAGTCTGTATCTCGACGTATCTCAAACGTATCTCAGTATTTAATATTCCACCCACGAGGAATATATGTGGCACAAGGCCGAGTTTAAAGTGGGTTTCTCCGATCCCGTAGGTTTGGCCAAAAATATACCCTTTGAACCCGCCTAGACGGTTTCAGGACCTGCCTACCTCCCCGGACGAAACTTTGCCCTTGAGCAAAGCATCGTCCGGGTTCCTCTATGCCAAAGCAGAGAGTTCGACGGAAGTCGTACACGTAGTCAACCGCTCGTCTACTATGACTATATTATGCTTTGCGAGGCATAATATAGTCATAAGACGAGTCTATTTTGTCCATGAAGGTAGGTCCCCATAACAATATATATGATTGAGTAAGATACGCGGCAACAAGAAATAGTTAAGCTAGAGGAAAAATAACAGTTATCTGAATGATTTATAAGTCTAACCTGTTAGGTGACTTTAACAAAACTTGAACTTTATAAATCTGATGACACCTGTTCCTCAGCCATTTTTTGGGGGTGCCTGTTCACTTAAATGTGTCAGTGCTGATTCAGACACAATTTGATGGTTTTGATTTTCATCAACGTCGCCCGTGTCTGGTGGCGTTAGAAACTATATATATAGTCCTCATTTGGATAGCGTTTACTCATTTTTAGTAAGTCCTTTCTGTTTTGTCAAAAGACTGCTCCGATTTTAATCTGCATGGTGAATGATATAAGCGCTACTTTTGATTGTACTATACCTGATTCATTTCATCTCTTATGCATGACCTTATGTTGTAGCTTACCTACGGACGATAATGGGTATGTCCCCATTCACATAAATAAAGTAGTAAATACTGTATGTTGGTCGGCAGCTGGAGATTCGACTCAAGCTAAGCTTGTCGAACTCTTTGACTTCGGGCAGAGAGGAACCCAGACGAGGCTATGCCGAAGGGCAGAGTCTCGTCTGGGGTGGTAGACAGCTACCCGACCCCGTTTTTTACGGGGTCTACGGGGAATTTTTGTCCGAGCCTTCGGGCTCGGATACCACACGTTAAATTTGGCCTTGTGCCACATCTAACCGCGTGGGCCGGTTGCTAGATATCCGGAGATTCATCACCAGCTATGATAGTCAAACTCTCTGTCTCCGGACAGGGAAGATCCTCAGCCAAGGTGGTGGTTGGCAATTATCCTGCAGTTAGAGATTCCTCTTCAGCTGTGCTGGTCAAACTTTCTGCCTCCAGACAGAGAGGATCCCCAGACGAGGCTATGTCGAAGGGCAGAGTCTCCTTTCGGGAAACAGCTACCCGACGCCGTTTTATACGGGGTCTACAGTGAAATTTTGGCCGATCCTAGGAGCTCGGATACCCCACATTAAATTTGGCCTTGTGCCACATCTAACCGCGTGAGCCGGTTGCTAGATATCCGGCAGTTAGAGATTCATCACCAGCTATGCTAGTCAAACTCTCTGTCTCCGGACAGGGAAGATCCTCAGCCGAGGCTATGTTGAACTGCAGAGTCTCCTTTCGGGAAACAGCTCCCAGACCCCGTTTTATACAGGGTCTACAGGGAATTTTGGAGGCGAGCCTTCGGGCTCGGATACCCCACATTAAATTCGGTCTGACCGCGTGGGCGGTTTGTAGATATCCTGCAGCTGGAGATTCATTGTGGAATTCACCTGACTCACTTCTAGCAGTTGACTACTATTAGGTTGGTATGTCGTTTTTTGACGTTCAACTTCAAAAGAGAAAACGACATTATTTTTGCACCAACCCAATACTTTTACGTGCCACTGGCGAATCTTATATGTGTTGTTCTTGTCCTAAGTATTATCGTTCATTACCAACCTTCACGTGATTATTCTATTCAGTAACCTTCCCTAGGTTATAACACCCCTTATACTTTTGATCTCTTGAGCTCTCCATCCGTGGAAGTAGTATTTTTTGTCTGGTTCTTGCTTGGTCCGTTGCTTTCCACTTGGTTTATTTGTTGCGAGTGGGTTACTTCTTAGCTTTTGCCCCATTCACCTTTCTGTGGGTAACGATCCGTGATCGCCTGGCGCGCTCGGATGCATTAGGGGTCCAAGCGATGGGCCCCCGTATTTTCGTAGAAGGTTTCTCACGTTTTTCAACTTTTTGTTTCCTTTCAGTAAGGCCATTCGCTTGTGGGTAATGTAGGAAGGATGTGATTTTGAAGTTCCACTTCGTTCCAAATTGTTGATATTCTGCTGACGTGGAACATGGTCCATTTTCCGTGAATACTACTTGTGGGACTACGAATCTGCTAAAGCTGTGTTGCATAGCTTTAATCACAGCGCCACTGTTTTTTCGAGTTCCACGTGCCATATCCTCAAGGATACATGGCACAGTGGATAAAGGCGTTGGTTAGATCCAGTGACGGACCCAAAGAAGGTGAGTTCAATAGCTGGTTAAGGCAGTGGAGAACTTTCAGAGGGAAAATTAGCAGGAGATAACTGATAACTGATAACTGACATCCATCAAACATGGCACGTGGAACTAGAACAGTCTACCCCAGTGATCGAAATAAAGGGTTCAGTTCGAAATTCCAACTACCTGAAGAAGACCGGAGCGTACAACGGCCGAAACGTTGTGACAAATATGGTGACAAAGATGAGGACAATAGTCTGACTAATGTAAATACTGTACATAATACCTCATCTCAGAAATATAGACAGACACTGGGATTATGTTTATTGTATATGATGTTCTTTTTTGGAGTATATGATGTTTTTTGGAGAATGTAAATCATCATTTTTTTTTTCAAACTGTTACTCATTTCCTGAAAATTTAAAATTCTACATTAGATTAATCTTGTTAAGTGATATTGTTATTAAGTGAAAACTATATTTATCAATCAAAAATTGCAAAAGCTTAATACAAACCATTTTGCACCAAGATTTTAAAATAGGTTTTAGTTTGTTTTTGTGTATATAAAATATTACGTAATGTGCTCATATTTGAAAGGAGGTTAACCATGCACAACATTAACTGCACTAATATGACAAGTGATAACCAGATCTGGATTGCAGTATGTAAACCAAGTTTGGTTCAAGGACAAGGATTTCAGAAATTGGATGGAAAAGGCCAAGGTCAGGGCGACACCGCCAGCGGGCGACCACACAGTGCTGCTGCCATCTTTTGGTAAAACAGGAAATTGCATTTCTTAGGCGTGTAGTTTACCTACTCTGATTGACGATACTGGCAGGCTGTAAGTGATACATTTTATGACAGAGGATGGGGGCCATATGAAATTTGACCGCGGGGCGTAATTGGCCCATGGGCCGGACTTTGGACATGCCCGAACTAAAAGAAGAAAGACAAAAATACGTGTTAGGAGAATGTTTTGGGGGATCTTTGAGGATACATTGCTTGTCGTAAATCCCATAAATTACTCTGACTTATCAGGTGCATGTCCTTCTTGACATTTGAAGGGGGTCTCTATGTCTGTGTGCTATGCTGTATTGTCTGTGTCCGTATGCACATATATACCTATATGCACACAACCATACACACACACATGCACATACATACAGGCAAAGAGTATACTCATGCATACATTTTTACATAGGTGTGCCAGCATACACACCCAACCAGGTATACACACACACACATATATATATATGTATATATATATATATATGTATATATATATATATATGTATATATATGTACGTGTATGTGTGTGTATATCTGATTAAATAAACTACAGACATTATGTTGTCTTTTTATTTTTAATAAAATCCTTTCATACACACAAATAACCTTCCGTGTATTGCAATTAAATGATATGAGAAACGTGCTATAACTATGAAAAATCGTTTTTGTTTCCCATTTCCCAAGTACTTTCGATATGCTTCCGAGATCATCTTCAGGGGTGTACGTAGTAATACAAAACTGTGTTGTTTACGGGTGCAAGTAGTAATACAAAACTGGTTTTTGATATCCATCACTGAACATTTTCTTTTTGCTTTCAAATTCAACGGTTGACAATCATTATGAATGGATTTTGTTAAAAATAAGCATGATAATTTGCTGCCTAAACACACAAATATATATGTATATATACACAAAAGCTTTCATGTTTCAATATTATGATTGTACTTCTTCAGGCAATGGTAAGTAACTGGTGAATAAATGATTTATAAGGAAATTTAAACCCAAAGTGTTACCTCTTTTCCAAAATTTAAATTGTTGTGTGTGAGAGTGTGTATGTCTGTGTGATTGAATAAACTACAGGCATTATGTCTGCTTATTTTTAACAAAATCCATTCATACTCTCGGATAACCTTCCGTGTATTGCAATTAAATGTTGTGAGAAACGTGCTATAATTAGGAAAAATCGTTCTTATTTTCCATTTCCGAAGTACTTTCGATCTTCTTCCGAGATCATCTTCAGTAGCGTAAGTAGCAATATAAAACTGTGTATTGTTCACGCATGCAAGTAGTAATAGAAAACTGTTAATTGATATCCATTACTCTAATTTTTCTTTTTGCTTTCAAATGCAACGGTTGACAGTCATGCTTAGCATTCATTAAACGTGAAAAAATTGTCCACTATAAATTTTTTTCTTTTGTGTTGTAATGTCATGGTCATGCGCGTATTAAAACGTGAAAAACTGTTCTTTTTATAGACATTTCAGAACATTACTACATTATTCGTAGTTGATTCTCTTAAGTGACGGCTTTAATTTTTAAATGTACATTGCTTCGAGGATCTGTAGTTTGAATTTGTTGTTTTCTTGGTCTAGGATAGTTGTGTTGTCGATTAGTAGTTTTTCTTTTATATTGAGAATGTGAACAGGTATGTTGGTGTAGATGTCTCGCGATGGACGAATGGTCAGACATGTAGAATGTAAGGCGTCTGAAGTTGTCGTATATTCAACATATATATTTGTTTATCTGTCGGAAAAGCATGGCTATCAAATATATATATATATATATATATATATATATATATATATATATATATATATATATATATATAGTTTATTCTCAAGCAAGAGAATGAAACTGTACTCTAAATTTTAAGGTTAATATTGAATTTAAACTTAGGACTTGAGTCAAGTTTCGAAACATAGTAATTTTTAGTGTCACTGTTTTAACTTTCATGAATGGTTGACCTTGGATAACCTTGAATAAATTTCTGGAATATTCATGACCTTGAAAAATCATTCGACTCCCGCGTAATTACTTAAATCTTTTATGATTGGTCAGTTGCTGCTCGATCTTGTGACTCGGCATTTAAAGCTTATTTGCGGAAAACTTTCGTCTTTCGTTCTGCCCTTCTCGTATGGTTAAACCACTCAGTGCTTTTGAGGGTCAAATTATCGTACTTTTCAAAGAAGAACAACCAACTTGAGGATTGACGAAATGTGCACAAATTCTACTTGAATTTTTCCGTCATTTCAGTCGTCACCTGATTTCAACAGTTGTCGCAAGTCTTTCTGAATTTAAAGGTTTTTTACTGTATTTTGAATGTATTATGTCATCTATATGTCCATCTTTGAATAGATAGATAGATAGATAGATAGATAGATAGATAGATAGATAGATAGATAGATAGATGGCATAATACAAAGGCCTGTGGTATCCTTTATGGTCTGAGCACAACCTGGAAGTACTCCCTCAATGACAACCTTAAGCGGGACCTCTTTAAGGCCACGGTAGAATCTTTCTTGCTCTGCGGCTCAAGAATATGGACACTGACGAAATATCAAGAAGCATCACTTGACGGATCATGCACAAGGATGTTACGAGTTGCATTGGACATCATCTGAAAGAAACACGCAACAAAGAAAAGCCTATATGGACACCTTTCTCCTATCTCAGATTCGCTAAGAGAGAGAAGGCTTCGGTTAACTGGTGACTCCTGGAGAAGTAAGTCGGAACTTGTGAGTGACATCCTCCTGTGGAAAACCATTGCGCGGCAAAGGATCGGTTGGAAGGCCTCATCACACCTACATTGAACAACTTGTAGATGACTCTGGATGCCATCTGGAGGACCTGCCGACGGCGATGTTTGGAAGGAACGAGTCGGGAGAATCCGAGAAGAATTCTTGACCTGATGATCTATCTATCTATCTATCTATCTATCTATCTATCTCGGTCTTCTCATTATGTATGTATGTATGTATGTATGTATCTTCAATTCATATCTATCTATCTATCTATCTATCTATCTATCTATCTATCTATCTATCTATCTATCTATCTCGGTCTTCTCATGTATGTATGTATGTATGTATCTATCTATCTATCTTGAATTCATATCTATCTATCTATCTATCTATCTATCTATCTATCTATCTCGGTCTTCTCATGTATGTATGTATGTATCTATCTATCTTGAATTCATATCTATCTATCTATCTATCTATCTATCTATCTATCTATCTATCTATCTATCTTCTTCTCATGTATGCATGTATGTATGTATCTATCTATCTTGAATTCATATCTATCTATCTATCTATCTATCTATCTATCTATCTATCTATCTATCTACTTGGAACTGCTGAAAATACCTCGACCTTTCTCATTCGTTCAGCTAATAGAGCTTCACTGAGAGTCCAACCATTCATCTCGACCTGAGAAAACTTACGTTGATGAAGAAAAGTTCCTAACTTGGTTTTGGAGGCATTAAATGATTCAAGCCACTCAATGCCACAGCGAAAATATAATGAGAACTTTTCAGCACCCCTTGTATTTGTTTCAAAAATATAAACCTGTGAAAGTGGAACCTTCAATTCGGTCAGGAATTGTCATCAAGATTCCTGTGAAAAAACTAATTTGTTAAACAACACTCTTCTATGTCCAGACGTTTTTAAGATGTCTGTACGACATCCAAAGATGTAGGTACAAGTGAGCATATGTATTCTTGGATGTGTATGAGTGTGTAATTTGTGAAGTGAAATGGCTGGATTTCGATTTCAGAACGAAAATTCAGCGCAATTAACTTTGAAACACGCATCTGTGAATACTAACATCCACCCCAACTTTTTTTTTTCACCACCGACGTCACCAGAAATTCTCCTTCTTTGTCCTCCTACCTGCACATCAGCATTACTTCCGGTTCCGGTCTCAATTTTATGTTCGCAGTTATTTTAGTTCATTATTATTATTATTATTTCTTTTTTCTTTTTGATAGTGGTG